TCTTACTTTTCAGGTTACTGCTCCTGAAAAACCTGGATCACATTTGCTGCAATTCTCGGAGTTATCATTCTGATGGAAAATGTAATTTTGGTTATAATAGCACTGCTACACAGGTTTGACAAACCATTGCCGAATTCTATTTGCCCCTTTTTATAAATACTCAATGTCGAGGCAAAGACTCCATTTCTTACTAATAAACAATATGTTATTTGCAATTAACCGAACTTATTGAAATATACTCTGTCAAACCGCACTTTTGCTTTTTGACTTACACTTTTTGTACAGAGCAAAATGTCGTGGAATGAGAGCGTGAATTGAATGTAGACTTCTCTCGGGGTCATCACTGAAATCGAAATGATCGGAATTTAAATTTTGGCTCCACACACTCTAAGGATAGTCCCTGGCATTGAATGAAGACTCATCTCTTCATGCATCGCATGTGATTGAAACCATTGAGGGAATCACCTGGAAGTATCAGTTGTTTGCAGTCTCAATTCGAATTTTGAGTATTCAAACAATCCCAATTATTCCACCCACGCACATCATTCTTAACTATAATATGACGCAAACCGTACACTATTTGACTGTTTAAAGAATTGTCTTCCTCGGCAGGTTCGATTCACACGCTTGGAAAGGTAAGCATTATGTCTGCGAAAGCGGTATTTTGTCGAGTGACACATTATTGGCAGCGTAGCCACAACATCAAATTTGAGTGTAAGCACACACACACACACACACACATGCAAATTGTGGGGCATGAACTCCACTGAGCAACACCTGAAGGGGGACTGACATTTGCAGTCTCCTCTCTTCACCAACTCGAGTGTTCTGGAGCAATTTCTATAACACTCTTTCCTCATTTTTCCACTCACAATCAACAACTGTCATCGAATTAGAGAAATTCGTCTTCTCATCAAGTAATCCACTTCTCCACAGACCACAAGTGGCCTAACGTTGTTCAGTGGTTAGACATTCATCAGACAAATTTGATGAACAATTCAAGACAATGAGTTAAGCTCATTCAACTAACATGATTTAACAAAGACATTTGCTAACTTGCAGTAATGAAGTCAATGCAATGGCACCTGAGGTAGTTGCACTGATTGTCATGCAAACAATCTTGAAAACACCATGCCACTTGTGGCAATTATGAGTGGAGTGAGTTGTAGATTTATGAAGAAACCTCTAGGAAAGCAGGTTTCACTGGCAAAATCACTATAGCACAAGTGAGGTTTCATAAAGCCATGCAGTGACTATTGATTAGTGGTTGGTGGAGAGGTCTCTGTGCTCACGGTGGCACATGCTCACTTCGCGTCAAGTAGCACGCACCCAACTTTGTCCTCGTCTGACTGCACATCTTACTCCTTTCTTCAGGCATTACGACCTTGTGCACTTCATTGAGCAGCAGTATGAAGAAGTCGCATGAAAATGAGGTGTGCGCGTGCTATTGTGGCCTCATGCCTCACCCAGACGCCCACTTGTGCAGAGTCATTTTGGCAGCAACTTTGGTAGCTCTATCGCTATTACTGAAAGTAGTAGTAGGTGCCAAAAGTAGAAAGAGTAGAGCGGATTTAGACATCTCTGTATCATCATTAAGTTTAAAATGGTCTAAATTTGAATTATTTCCATTCTTCACATAGAATGGATACACTTCTCACTGATTATCTGGAACTGGTCATTGGAACTTTCACATTGGCTATTTAAGAAAACATGCTCAATTCATTATCTTTCCATCCCATTTGAACAAGCCAGACACACTCTAAACTGCGTTTCTCACCTCCCACATATTTTATTATGTCTAAATTGTTTGAGTTAGGGTATGAGGCAATAATGTGAAGAAATGATACGCCACTTTCCTATGATACTTCACTTCGTGACATGGGAAGTAAATTGAGATGCTATGGAACTTTAGAGCTTATTAGTGTGTAAATGAGCCAAGAAATGAGTGTCTAGTGCAGGTACCTGTGACAGCAGTTATGGTGACACCCACTACTCTCTCTCTCCCGACATGCCCATCATTGCATCTAACTAGCCTTCAGGCTCACCTTCATCGACAAAGCCGTGTTCCAAACCCTTCGTGTCTACTTGTCATCGCTCTTCATACCACCTGCCACCTCCTCCTCCTCACCATGAAGCAGAGGCTCTACGCATGTGACAAGTGTTGGTGCCTTCACTCTTATTCCACAATTCAAACTCCCAATTGATCAGTAGTATTAGTGAACGAATACTCTTCCATGCTATCTAATATTTATTATTTTATAGAGTACTTAGGGTGTATGACAATACCGCTGAGAGTCAGGACTAGGCCAATTCCTCACTTCTATTCACCTTAGAAATGATAATATTCTTAGCAATGCGCATTCATTGAATGCCTACCTCTCAGATCAGCACTCAAATGCTGCAAGTNAACGAATTGTTACTCAACCTAGTGATGCATGTCTATACCCCAGGAAACGTTGTACTTTATGAAGAAGAAGAAGAGAGCTACTTGATGAGAAAGTTGATTTCATCAAACGGATGGCAGTCATTGACTATTAATTGGGGAGAAAGTTAGAAAAGTGTTATGCCCCTCTTATTGCATTAATGTGAGCATTAGAAAAGTGATAGGGGGCTTTTGCGGTACTCTGAGCGGTACTGAGCGTGTTGATCAATCTCCAAACACTGGTTTAGATGTGTTGTGGGAAAGTTCTCCTGCAAAGGGCATAGTCACATGGAAGAGTAAATTCCCTCTCATCAATAGTTGTACTTCAAAATGTATGACAAGATATATTCCACTTTAGAAGTGGCACCGACAGAGGTTCAAATTCATTTGAAGAAGTCAGGCGGCAACTCGACAAAGAACACCCTACTCTTCCATTATATTTTCAAGTTGCAACGAATTATACACAAACCAATAGGTTTTACTTCCACGTGACAAAACTTCGAATGCGAAGAAACGCTAATTTTGTAAATCCTACTATGAATGTATTTACTCGTTAGAAACTTTACCCTAAACATTCGACTCAATGCAGTAAACTCGTTCAAATAAATTTATCCACAAATAAATTCCAGAAATTGCCTTGTCGAGCCTTTTTCTTTAATAACAGTGGTATTTGACATTTCTCCAAGTATTTTGCTATCGCGTAAAAGAAGCACTGACTCTGGCATCTAAAATTTCCCCTACAAGTCTAAAGTCGAATGCGAGCTCAATTTATTTCGTCAGACGCATGCTCAGAGGGGCATTATTTGCTGTGAGGTGTTAAATTGACATGAATTGAAGCACACGTTTTCTGAGGATATATTTAAGAAACCAAAGCCACCCCCCCCCCCTCATAAGTGAGTAGATCAGATCAGATCATACTCTGAATTTGGAGTATTTTGGAGTGTTTTCAAAGGTTTTCCTTGCCAACTCATCACCCCCTACCTCCCTCCCGACATCTCCATCATTGCACTAATCCACATAATAGGCTCAGCACTTTCGATAGACCTGCGTTCCCCTTTCACTCCGTGGCAATTTGCCATCGATCACTCTACCTTGCGCCATCTCAGCAGTGCCATCAAGCAGAGTACCCTCGTGCGAGAAAAATGATTCCTACTCTTCGATTATCTTTTCAATAGTTGTACTTCAAAATGTATGACAAGATATATTCCACTTTGTTGGTGGCACCGAGAGAGGTCTAAATTCATTTGAAGAAGTCAGGCGGCAACTCGACAAAGAACACCCTTCTCTTCGATTATCTTTTCAAGTTGCAACGAATTCTACACAAACCAATAGGCTATGCTCCATCAGCGAGCAGGCCAATATTTTCCCAAAAATTGTGTGGCTATTTTTATAGGAACTCAAATCATAAATGTGATGCTTTCCAAGCTGTAGATTCGATCATTAAAGATGTGAACCTACTTAATTCCAAACGGCCAATCAGGTGTGTTATAGGTCAAAGGACATGTGCAGAATTTAAAGGCACCATCTTCAAATTCGTGCAATCTGAATTTACTTCATCTAACATGAATCGAAATTTCACGTGAAATGACCCATCATTGCATGTTACACCTGCGCGTAGAACATAAGTCACTTGGAAAAACGTTGGTAGGTCTAAAATAAGTAGTGAAAGACTGATAAAATGGCATTTCTTCTCATGCAGATCGAACGCAACGAAAGAGTGGACAGAGTTGGGAAATTCTTGCGTACATGCAGTCCACTCATGATTCCGCCATCTACATTTAGACACTTGTGTATTCAAATCTATTGCCTACAATTCCTCCAATTCCATTTGATTGTAGAAATGCAGCTGATGCAAGGAATGCAGTGTACTAATAAGGTGACTAACAATTGTTATTGGTAATAGCGAGAGAGCTGATAGAGAGACTGACAAAATTGCTCTGCCCAAATATGCATCTGGGTGGGGGGTGGTGGGCATGACACCGCAATAGCACGTGCACATGCCAATTTTTATGCGACTTCTTCATACAACTGTGCGGTGAAGTGCTCAACGTTGTCCCCGCCCCCCAAACACCCCCACCCTGAGATGTCTCCAAGGCTTACTCCACAACAGAAATCAGAGTCTCAAGAGATATTGCCTTATGGAGATCATAGTGGACACAGTTATGTTGACTGAGGTCTAACAATTCAACTTTTGGTAATCTTAATGGGCTTATGGATTCAAGTATTGCAAGTGACAATGGAAATACTAGAAATGAAGTTGGTGTCTTAATGACACTTAGAGAACACATGATGTATAATGATTGCATTAGGAATGTGAAATAAGATCTGAAATATTTCCATGGAAGCACATTAATTCAACTCGTGGAATTTTAGCAATTTCAATTTGTAACTCACCAGGTTTTAAGACAACAATATTTCCATTCACCTAAGTATATGATTCTGCCAAATTGTGCAGAGCACATATTTTCACATCTATTTTACAGCTGAACCAGAAATGTCGTGTATTCCGACAGGTAATGGGTCATATATACCTGGTATATAAATGTTTGCCACACCAACGTATTTACAATCTTCAAGAATGAGGTGTCATTTCTACCTCTATGTGACACTTCTTGTTGTCACGACACAGTCTCAAGAACGTAAGTATCCACGTTATTTGCACTCTATTTGGAACAGTTTTACTCATTCAACCTGTTTTGTCGCTATTTTTACATTTTTGCATAATGTTGGTGGTCTGTTTTACTTACCATCTAAAAGGAGATATTGAATTTAACAACTATAAGAAAGGAGTCGTTCATTCAGTTTACTTAAAGGAGTCCCCCACCCACCTTACGACTAGCTGACAAATTATTAACTATTTCTGAATTAATTCCATGGCAATTTGAAGACATCCTTGGCATTCATTCAAGTAGACTTCCTCCATCAAGAGTAGTAGATGTTGCTGGTACCTTCAATGTCGATCCGCCCACTCTCAGCACTATACGCGTTTGAAACACCCGATGACGTAGTGACACCAACATCTCAATGACATTGTGTTAGGGCAAGGCAAATTATCATAATTACAAATAAATTTCCTGCATAAACACTTCTCAGCAAATAATCTCCATCCGCGAGTGTTGGTAAAATCACGTGCAGTATCTTTGTACAAATAAATGGCAATGTCAATTTATGCACAAAGTGCAGTATGGGTCTAGACTCAACGATGTTAAGGAGAAACACGTTGTTCAAGTGAATATGCTAACGTTTTTTCTCTAAATGTGTGCAAATGATCTTAATGGGGATTAATTAAAAGTAATTAAAGAATACACAACTGTCTGCCCATCTTCCGCAAACTCGTGTTTGAGTGGCTTGTAAATATTAGGATGTGAACGAAACTTGAAGTGATAGATTGTTAGACATGAAATGATTGCAATTGCATGAAAAAATCTAGAGAAAATAAGTTGTAACTGCATATGCACTTTTTCCTTTCATACAGCACTTTCAGTACAAAGTGTCCAACTGTGCCAAGTTGGGAAGACCAGGGCAAGACTTTCCTATGACGCAGTTGACTCTCCAAGCGATTGTTTGGTTGGTTCGGGATATCACATTCAATACAAAGACGGTGACTCGGATATGGAATACTATTTTGTACCCACGCTTAATGAAACCTATGAATTTGAGGGAAAAACTTTTGATGTTGAAGTCGTGTCTAAGTGCATAAATCCAGAAGGAATAATTTTTCTTTCAATGCCAAAGTCAATGTTTATTCAAAAAATCACTGAAGGTAAGTTTTTGAGCAAATTTTTAAAAGAGTATTTAAACTGATTTGTTGAATTGAGCTGTAAGAATGGAGTAATGCTTGTTTTAAAGAAGTTCTTCTCTAGTATGATTTACAAATATTGTGTTTCTTTTCCTTCCTCAAAAGCTTTGACACCTGGAATCATTTATTTATTTATTTATTTCAAATGGGAGGCTGTATGATATTTATCATTAGCCCTTAAACTTTCACTTCAGCTTAGCTATTTCGGAGTCGGTGGTAAGCAGTTTGTTTTTTAAACGTATTGGTCCTTTTTTGGGTCTTTCGCTGATGTTTTGAAGGTTACCCAGGAATTTGAAAGTGCGTTGGCTATCACTTTGATAGTTGATGTTTGAGATGAAGTTGTCGAAGGAAGTGCGTTTAGCTTGT